TAGTATTGTTGCGTCATCAAGATCACGTGACAATTCTCACGCTCTCTTGTTTCTAGAACTATCATGTACTTTGGCGAATGTTCTACTTCTTGCTAGAAATAGGTTACGCTGATATATAAAAGAGAGGAGAGGTAATGTGTGTAGAGGCAGAGAGTGAGTAATTGATCTGCGGTCGGAGTATTATTGACGTTCGTTGCTATAGTGTTTGTTTAGCGCGATTGTTGAGTGTATCAGTTAAGTTATATTCGGAAAGAATAAACCAGTTTTATTAAGTAAAGGCTTGTGTCGCGTAAGTTTCGTCGGTACGAAGTTACGGAAAATTAATTAACACACGGAGACGTAACAATACTGTTACCTGAACCTTCATTTGAATGCAATATTAACAATATAAAATCAGACATGCTTCTGCACTCAAGTAAGATTGTTGTTGTTTGCTAGAATGAAGTTGATGCTAACTGGTTAAAGTGGTAGCTTACCACAGAGTACCTAATACATGGCAAGGTTAAATGAGCCTCTGGTAGATCTTGGTTTCCACCAAAATGCAACCTTGCATTCATGTATTAATCTTAAAACCACCAAGGTGACACCCAATCCCTGGCTCTCTAGATCATCCACTACAATGTTTGATGCAAACTGACAACTTCACTTGCTCTGGGTGCAACCAGATCCAACTCAGACTCTGGTACTTTAAACTAACTGGAATACCTACAACCATTGCCCTTCATGCATCTGTTTTGGCATCAGTCTGAAGAGTACTCATTCTGTGACACAAGCATACCACGTGTTTCCCACCCCTTTAGTTAATATTTAAGTTTTAAAGGTTTCTGTATTTATTGAATATGTCTTCTTAATAAAGAATGTGAGTCAAGAGAGTCACTGATCTTCACTTGCTGTAGTTATTCATGTAACTGGGTCAGTCAATTAGGGTGTGATGTGTACCCTCTTGTGGGAAATATCACTGTAATGTTGAACTAATTATGTAGAAAATGACAGTGATGATTTTCACTGGCAAGTCAGATGATGCCTCAGGCATACAAAGTAAATTGTTTTGAAGTGAGAGTGACTGTCAGTAACCTATGTCCTGAGAAGAATGGTATTGTTGTTTTTAGTATATCATATCATATTTTCGGAGTCTTGAACAACTTTCGAGGAATTTAAAAATTTTTTTATATTGACTTGACAACTAAGACTCAGATCTCTCTCCAGTAAAGGCACCACGCACTATATTTACCTTCGTCCTCGGAGAGGGGGGGCGAGGGTATTGCAATCGGGTCCGTGTGTGTCTGTTTGTGTTTCCGCGCGCGTATCTCAGAAACTAATAGACCGATGTACACAAAAATTTTACACAAGATGGGAAGTCAGTATGGAACAGTCCTCCGCAAATTTAGTCCGGATCCTAATCAGGATTTTGGATCACTTTGAAGCATTTTTTTTTTTAAATGGGGAGAAAGGTCATTTTCATGGTTTTGGGTTAATAACTCTATAAAGGGTTGCACGACTTAGAAGATATATCTTGGCACCCCAGGGTGTTAGTTTAGAGTAGGGTTGTTTTGTTCAATTAAGATGGATTCTTTGATTTTTCGTTTGTTTATGTTTGGTTCTTTGTTTAAAATCACTGTGTTTTTAATAAATATACTATGCAATGGTGGAAAACATGGGACGGTTTTTTAATTTTGTTCTGTGAACCTGGTTTCCAATTTTCTTCCCGCTTCTCCGATGTAGAATTCTCGGCAGTTATTGCATGTTATTTTGTA